CACAAGAGTAGGCTGATGTAAATGTCATCAAGTTGTTTTCATCCACCTCATAGCATTGTAATTTTAATTAGTTGTGGAAACATCTGTTGAAGATCTCAGGCTCTTGTTTGTCACTTCCTGCAGCCTGTACTCTGAACCCGTGGAGAACTCACACCCTGCGTTTGACTCACAAGGCTACAGCGTCCACTTTGTCCTGCACAACACCGGCACTGAGATCACGTCGGACCACTTCAGTCACGTCTGCTGTCGCACAGGTAATCCGATAAAACGCTCGTCTGGATGGAGGATTTCAATTTGTGTCTCTGAAAGTGAAACTGGTGACGAACTGTCGTTGTGATCGTGGTTGATTTGCTGCGAGCAGTTCGGCTGGAGCGTGAACTTCTGCAGTTGAAGCTCATCGACAGCACCGTCTTGCACCAGCACAAACTGCTGTCTGGAAACATCAAGCTGCCGTGGAAGAGCGAGGAGCTGGAGGGAGCAGTGGAGGTGCGTTTCTGGTGTTACATGGTGCTCAGACTCGTCAGTGGTGGTGCCCACATCACTAGTGATCAAAACGCTGCAGTTATAAAGTGAAAGCATCGTAGAGTGTTCTGCAGTTTTCTGAACTCAGTCCGACTCGTCAGGTTCCGGTTGTTTCTTTCCTGACGTTTGTTTCTCGTAGAACTGCTGCATCATGACGCTGACGGTGCTGGACCGGTTCCTGAAACCAGTCTGGTGTGTCAGCACGCCGATCTTCATCAGGATGGCGAAGAGGCCTCTGTCCATCACGTACTGCGGCGAGCACTTCCTGATGGACTACAACGGCCCCGGCGGTAAGGTGAAGATGAAGCTGGTGTGGATGAAGGAGCAGAAGCAGTTTTTCCTCATCAGCCTCATCATCTACATTTAATTTCCCAGAGGCAGCTTGTGTTGATTCTTCTCTCGAGCAGAAACTTTGAGTTTATCTAGTTTTTGTTGATGGTTTCAATGGAATCAGTGAAGAAAAGAAGATATTTAAAGCTCCAGATGTTTCAGCTTCATTTCTTTAAAAATGAGTTCAAAGAGTTTGGACCTCTAGAAAAATAAAAGCAGATTTCATTGTAAAGAAATTGTTTCTTATAATCTGTGTTTTGTTCTTCGCACATTTTCACTTTGAATAAAGAAACAAAAACAGAATTCTCTCGTCCTGAAAATTCAAAACCCAAAGTGGGACATTTCAAATTTATTAAGTGATTAAAATCTAAAAAATGTTTTAAGTTGAACATTTTAGTTTCTACTGAGCAGATTAAGAAGACTTTTAAAAAAACTTTAGAATTTGAAGTTGTTTGTTTTTATGCAGCTTTAACTCAGTGATTTACCTTCTGTTCATTCATCGTGCAGGTTAGACACCAGGGGGCGTTAAAGACACTTTCACTTCTGGGAGGTGACATGAGAAGGAATGTTTGTGAGTCAATAACTAAGGGAGGTGGCCGTTGTAGTTTTCACTAGCTGCCACTAGATGGTGATGAGGAGTCACATTTCACTGACGACCTAGTTAAAGTTTCAACAGGTCCTCAGTTTTTAATTACTCAATTAAAACTCAGAGTTCTTCATGGTTTAAAGTTTCCTGCTGAACATTGCAGATAAACTCTGGTTGTTAATAACTTCTCTGTGTTTTGAACTGATCACAGTTCAGCTTCACTCTTCAACTGTCTGGAGCTCATGGACTTGTCTCTGCTTCATTCGAGGTGTCGGAGACGGACAGGAGGATGAGTTGTAGGACAGAGAAAAGCCCCAGAGAGATCAGAGCAGGTGAAAGAGAGAGAGGGGCAGGTGGCAGAAAGAAGGAGGGAAGAAAAGAAGGGGGAAGAACCATGAGTGAGAGGAGGAAACTGGTGGAACAGGCCGGTCTGTTTACTCGTCTGAGGGAGTGTCTCTGTGTTTCGTCCTGAACGAGAAGCTGCGCAAGAGAGACGAACAAGTGAAGAGACAGAAAAATCATGGCTGTGAATAAGTGCGTCAAATATCTGCTCTTCTTCTTCAACCTTCTCTTCTGGGTGAGTCTGGAAAACAAAACACTGTTTTATTTTCTCATCCTGTTGAACTTCTGAACACTTTGACTTTACATGTGAAGAAGTGGAAGAATCGTAATGCTCCTCAGAAACGATCGTACGTGGACCTGACGTTCATTCAGACTAATATTCTGTCCAGTGGCTTTGAGAGTGAATCAGTGGCAGATTGATCTGATTCTCCTTCATTAATCATTCAGATCGCTGAGACATGTTTGGTTCTGATGCAGAATGAACTGGTGATGGGTGTGTCCACTGGTCTGGAGGCATTTAATTACAAAAATGTAGAATTTTTAAAAACTAATTTTCATCATGTGGTCTGTTGATTGTTGTTTCTGTCTTTTGAATTGAATGTCTGTGTCTGTTCTGACCTCTGTCTGTCCCTCTCATTTGATTTCTGTGGTATCAGCAGCGTAGAACAGGTTGTGTCGCTCTTTATCTCTCGGCCGCTCCCTCCACAAACAAACAGCGGCTGGGTTTCAGGGCGTGGCTCGCCGCCTGCCTCCCACCCTCACGTCTGTCATCTGCCGCCTTGTGCAGCTCCTGCACTCACATTCACATCTGAAAGGGCAGTGAAGGAGGAATGAGAGCGTTATTAGTTTAGTTCCACATGACCATCCATTAACTGTCTGCAGAACCAGGTGAAGTGATTCACGTCCCTCTGCTTCACATGACTGAGCACTGCTCTGTGAACCACGGGTTCAAGTTAATCTGTAGCTCTACTGACGTTCAATTATTACTCAACACCTGATGATATTGTAGATTATTATTGTAGTTATGACAGAAGGAAAGACAGATTGACTTGAACACGGAGGATGTTCTCAGAATTGGATCTGGAATTTCCCCTTGGGTTTTGCTCTCGCACGTGAACGAGGCAGCAGGAGATTCTTCGATCAGACAAGTTCAAAGCAACACAGAAATCTCTGGACTCTTTACGTCTTTGTTTTCTTCATTTTCTTCGTGTTCTTCGTCTTTCTCTGCTTTTTCCTGAGATCGTCTGTCGCACGTTAGAAACCTTCCGCTGCCGTGTTCTCACGTCGGCTCCTCCGGCCGGCCGTTAACATCCGGAGGCCGTCACTCAGACATTTGCGTTCACACATAGAGCCGCTTGGATCTCTGGAGTTCAGTGCAGGTCTGAGAGCTGCTCTATGCATCACTCAGCGACATGTGAGACCTGGTCAAGACTAACAAACGCCACAAAGTCAGAAACAACAATGGTGGCTGTAAACCTGTTGACAGGGGAATCGTGTTTCATTTGAAGTGGACGTGTTTCTGTCTGAATTTGGCCTTAAAACCTTAAAGACGTGGAAATCTTTCACAGACACTCTGTGTTTTACGGTTCTGCTGAGACTGGGTTCTTCAGATTATCTATATTCACATTATATAATATTACAGGATGTTAACTCACTCAGCCGTGGTCGTGTCCTGCCCTCAGTTCTAATTAAGTTCTGCTCTGCTTGATCACATTAGGATTTTATAGATACGAACACAGATGGAGGCTGAGGCTGAACTTGGGTTTAACTCCAGGTTCCTGTTTCTCTGTGTCCCCGTGTTTGAGCGTCAGTCCTGAGGTTATTTCAGTCCTTCTCACGTGTTCCCAGAAACAATGTTAAATCGATGTAAACTAGATTTGAACCACTCAGAGGACACAATGATGATGATGGCGAGGGCGGGGCAGCGTTGTTATTTACTTTAAAACCTCTTTTACTGTTGTTTTTCAAACTCGTGGCTCCGCTGCAGCTTTTAGTTGTTGAGTGACGCCTCCTATCTTCTGACGGTCAGATGTGACCACTCAGATACAAAAGACAAGAGGTTTGTCGAACTTCTGAGCGAAAGGCTGTGATGCTGAACCATCCTACGTCACTGAGGTTTCTGTGGTGGAACACTTCAGCTGCTGCAAACATGTTCATCAGACGCCGGAGGAATCGTGGTGTGTGAGGGGAAGAGAAACAAACAGGGTCTGCGGCTCTGAGCATTATCGCCTGTTAGCCTCACGTCCGCCATGAATAATAGATGCTTCTTGTTGGTTTTGGCATCTGATTTGCAACAGTAATGACAAACATGTAGTTTTAATATCAGCGGAGGAACATCTGGTCGTGTTGTGGTAGATTTTATTTTCATGAACAAATTCAAACATTTAATTTCATTTAATTCCTTTAATAAATATATAAAAAATGTAAACGATAAAGTCTTTGCTAGTTTGAGATCGTCCGGAGCTGAGGTCAGGTTCATCGAGGATATCTGACGAACAAAAACACTGATCTGAAGTCAGTGGTTCAGTATTTCAGTGATACTTTTCTTCCATGATTGAATGAACATGCGTGATTTAGAGATAGAGCCCGTGTGCAGGGTGCGCTCTCATTGGTCGATCTGTTGTTGTTTCTAAATTCACTCCTGGACAAACCACAGGCTCATGACGGGACACACCTCCGTGTTATTAATCGTGTCACTGCTGGTCTTTGTCATGTGGTTAATTGTGAAATGTCGACGTCTCATCCGCTGCTGCTTTTGAAACAAATTCACCGCAACAGTTCACACATTGACTCACAAACGCTGAGTCACTGCGGAGGAATGAAACGGCCCCGACAATATAAAGAACTTGTTTTAGATTTATTATGTGTTGAGCCAACTCTTCACTTTAGATCCATCTACTGGAGTA